CTCACCTCGCCTAGTCTTCAGGCCTTCCTCCAAGAGCCAAGGCAGCCAAGGCAGTTGAAGCACCAAGCGGTGCCCTTAGCCCAGAATCCAGCCCAAAAATAACAAAAACAACAAACAGCGTCGACTAAAAAATGGAGTTGCCAACACCCACCGATTTCAACCAACTAGACGACACACTCGGCCGCCCCCCAAAAAAAACAAAATCCTCATGGACCCCCAAACAGACAGAAGAAACAAGAAAACCAACCAGGCCAAAATCACAAACAACCGGCAAGACAAGAAAACACAACAATACCAAAACAGGAGCATGTAACTGCCATCTGAACAGAACAAACAACGCCAAACACGGCACCAACAACGTGTAGGACGAGCCCCCACAATGTTACGTCCACCAGGCTTGTTTGGTGGGGGTAACATTAAAGGAGGCTACACAAGGATTTTCAGTTTAAATGAAGATAGTGTTTATTAAATTGTATGGGAGCATGGCCCAAAACAAAGATTTTAATCCCTGAAAAGTAGCCTCAATGGGTAAATGCAAACCAACAAACAAACCCCAACCACACTGATACGAACCAATCCACAAGGTGTTCTGAGGAGGAGGAAGGGAAGCTCACCCCTGCTGCACACCTGGCAGCTTTTATCACAGAGGAGCACCAATCAGGGCAACACAGAACACCTGCAGAAGGCCTGTCTCCAGAACCATACCAGGAAAAGAGGCAAAGACCACTGCAGCCGTAACAACAGCAATGGGTAATTACACCTGGAACGTCTTTTGGACTGAGCACATTTCTCGTAAAGATTCTACTGTCAGTAAAAATGACGTCACAATTTTTATGTGGGGCTTTAAACCATCAGCCACGTCGTATCCTCTGTATCTCTTCGATAAACAAATGACAATTTATATACAGGCATTTAAATCAACTGGACGAAGCTTAATTTTAGAGCAAAATTAATGTTTCGCATGTTTATAATGCTCGCGGACCACTTCCAGTTAGCGTTGTTGCTAACGCTTTCGGCTCGCTCCCCGCGCGCCCAGGCGAAAAAAGTTACGTGTATAAATTGTTACATCCCATAAATACACTCACAAAATCACGTATTATACTATAACGTTCTCCTGCCTTTTAGTTCACTAAACTGCATGCACCGGACCGAAAAACAGAGCAGCCTGAAGTCCTTAAGGGGCATTCAGAAATTCGATTTAACAGGTTTTCTACTTAACACATCAGATGATAAGAGCCGGCTTGTTCAGTCTGCTCAAATTCAGTCACCTGCTGCTGTGTCACCATTAAACAATAAGAAAACGAGCCACTACTTCTAAAAACGGGAGAAGGGTCACAGCACCAGCTGTTAACGACCGCAGCAACCCTGGTTCGAATCCGGGTCATGGCACCAGCTGTTTCGGCGGAGTCTGCGGGTCGTCAGTCACTGCAGCTAGCTACTGCTAGCAGTGGGCCTTAGGTTTCCTCTCAGACCCTGGACCCGCACCCAGCCCCCACCACTTCCTCCGGCTTTATCTCCCTCAGAATTGGTAACTCATACTAACAAATAAATCAAGGAAGCATGAATTCAGTTTTACCATTTGTATTGAAATCAAGGCAGTAAAAGTTATAGTTTACAGCGCTGGCCTCCACGGTACAATACGACGCGATCGAGAGCCGGAAGGGCAGATGTCCCATGTCATTACTCATTTATAGGGTCCTAGACTCCTCCTTCGCAGAAGGGGAGCTCAACCTGTCAGTGTATGAGGGGGCGTGACTAAGTGTGATCTCAATGGATCTTACATGGACTGACGTGTAAGGAAATATGAGAAAGTGCTTCAAAAGCCTTTCTGCATGATGTGGCAAGCAGATTAAACTATTTTCCATGACATATATTGAATCCCAGGGACACTCTTTTTAGAGTTACTGGCCCAGTTTAACCCAGTCAGAACCGGGCCATAATTTCATTATAATCCCGTCTTTGAGCAGATCAAAACCATAGGACCAGTCCAAAAATATCTTAACACAATCAAGACAGCATAAGAACAAAACAACGCAGTTATTGTTCTATAAACACAGTTAAGATAAAAGTAATTTAAAAAAACTTTCTGCAGAAATGCTCAGAGCCAGTTACAAATGAGCCAGCTTCATGCTGCTTCAAAATGAGTTAAATGCGCGGCCAGAAGTGCTTCTGTTTTTGAGACATACCACTCATGTAAATAGAGGGGTGGAACATGGACTGATCTACTACTTGTAAAAGTTTCTTGAATTCACATTAGGCAAAAACAGTAATACTATTTACAGGCAAGTAAAGAAAATGTACAGAGAAAAATCACAACCCACTGTTCTCAACGTGGTGCTTAATTTAAAATAAACCCCGCACAGTGATAAAATTTTGCTCTGACCCAGAGCTCAAAGAGGAGAAGGGGAGGAGGAGGAGAAGAGGAGGAGGAGGAGCAGGAGGGTGAGCATACCTGCAAACAACTTTTCAACAAATTGTTGACCAGAGGAACAAAACAAATCAAACCTCTCTCAAGTGTGTTTCTCTGGAAATAACAGATACAGATTGCCCTAGTGGGTGATTTTTTATTACAATTACAATCATTGAAATTCAACCACAAAACAACATTGATTCATTGACATCTTTTCAACATTGTTTAATTGGCTAGAACTGAATGATTGATTAAAGGTTGATAAATCATCAATCGTCAACCTTAACCAAAAATTAACCTTTCTGACAATAATTCAACATTGAATTAACATCTTTTGCTATCTGGGTATGGATCTGGTTAGCAATTGATCAAATTTTCTCAACAAGAAGGCAGGGCGAAAGAGAGACCTCTTGCCCTGATGGAACACTAGCAGCTGGATACATGATGGATTCCTGGGGGAAGTGGAAGATTGTGTGTCTCTCTGTATTGTCAGTTGAGGACGCTGAAGATGTATACATACTTAAATTTATGATAACAGGATTTCTGCTTTTTGGGAGTTGGTAGTTACCTGGCATATCGACAAATTCGGAAAATGTCAGCAGCTGTTCTGGCCATTGTTAAGCTGCCTGGCATGGAAGGAATGTGCCATGCGGTCAACAATCAGTCTCAGATGCTGTGCGAGCCAACCTTGCTGGCGGGAAGGCGTAGATCTTGGAGAGTTTGGAAGCTCGACTTGGCGTATATGACCACAATTTGGCTGTTTGGAGTCACCATGAGGTGTACTAGCGAGACTGTAAAGGCAGTCAGAAATTAACAGAGCTCGGCCTGACCCAAAACAAATGCTAAGATCTGAATCTGGCTCCTCCTGTGTTGGCCTTGGATTGCTGACTATCTCAATTTCTCCTGGATCTTATGGAAACAAGATGCTCTGCTCCCTCCTCCCCTACCTGCACCACTCCCCAAGGACATGGACCTGTGTCAGAGCTCAACCGAGCCAGCTGATAAACATTGCACCACCTCTTTTCAGGACTATGGGTGGGGGGGGGGGGGGGGGGGGGGGGCAGTTCTGGACAGTGCTCACAGACTACTTTCCTTCAAATTCACGCCTTCGCGGGCCTCCCTCATTCCCCCCCGGTGCAGCAAACTAGGAGATACAAAAGTGCCAATGGCTGCATCACTCACTTGGTGGCCTGTGCTGGGACCCCCACCCACACCACACACATATGTCTTATGTCTGTATGTTACTTTTTTTTGTTGCAGCCTAACACAGTGTCCTGTGGGAACACAGTGCAAGATTTGATTTGTTTGCCCCCTCTTCCCTCGTGTTCCCCTTTTCCTAAGCTAACGCAAAATGAGCGCCTCTCAGAGGCTGTTGCCTCAGGCACCCCGTCTACCCAAGTCTGTGTATGTTTGTTTGTTTGTGGTTTTTTGGATGGACTGTACTAAAATGTAGTTTTGTTGTGCTCTGTGCAATGACAATAAAGCTAATTCTGATTCTGAAAAAAAAAAAAAAACCAGCTAGAACAGACCACTTCTTAGGCCAAATACGTTTTGGCATGGTGTGTAATCTTAAAGACCTAAAACCAGATAAAACTGTCTGCCTCCATGAATTCAGTTCCGTTTATTTATATAGTGTCAACTCACAACAAAGTTATCTCAGGGCACTAAACAGAAACATTCATATACATATAAAAGCCCATTAGTAAAGTTCTCTTTCTAAGGAAGCAGCAGACTTGTTGAATCTTAGAAGTAAGATTTTGAATTCTATTCTGAATTTGACGGGGAGCCAATGAATTAATGCATCAAATTATTAGGAATCATTGGTGAAAAGATTTATTTCACTCATTTTAGGTTTGAAAAGGATATCGAAGACATGCTTGGTCATCGTCCCAACTGGTACTGGAAAATCATGTGTACGGGAGTAAGTCCTCTTCTTCTCATTGCCCTCTTCTTGTTCTACATCGTCAGCTACATCCAAGGAGGAACACCAATGTACCAAGCATGGAACAAAGACCTGGTGGGTTTGAATCTTCCTTCTGTCCAGGTTCATGGAAAATATTTGAATGTGCAACGCTTGAACAATGTGTGATTTCAGTGTAGTTGAATATGTTCTGCGATATATTCTGTTAAATCAGATGTTTACATACACTGTAGAAAAAGACAGAAACATTTTTTCATACTGTCTGACATTAAATCAGACTAAACATTTGCTATTTTATGTCAAATAGGATAAAAAAATATACATTTTATTTTTTTAAACTCAAATAATGAAAAATAGTTTTTTTTTCTTCTGTTACAGATTTACTTAAATTTTCTTCATAGTTAAGTTGTATGACTAGGACCAGACTTTTTTTTTCCCACAAGCTTCTCCCAATAGTTTGTTGGAACTGCCCCTTTCCCATTAGTACAACACGACTCGGCTCAACTCAACACGATTCCAAGGCTTTTCCATTAGTAACGGTACGTAGAACCGGTCCCTTTTTTCAGAACGCTTGGCTCTGTAGTTCCAACTGGGCTGAACAGGCACCGAAACATGACGTCAGAACACTGTCGGTCACTGATTGGTCGGGGTGTAGTCACCGGATCTTTCAGAAATGTTTCAAAATACCGATTCGCCACTTGCAATTTCTTGGAACTCAGAGCAGCGACTGGACCCATTTTAAAGATTTTAAAAACAATAATGACCATGGCCTAAAGCTGACTTGGGGCTTGGGATCCTGGCCTTACATGCTCTGCAGGCTCCGAGCTCCGCTGGTCACCGCAGAGGATCATACAAGCTGTTGAATCACAGAAGGCCGTTGCCCAGACCCTGGCCTTGCGTACTAATGAAGGCCGAACCCCTATCTCGGCAGACGGGTATAAGGCTGAGTACCGAACCTTGGTTCTTTTATGGTACCGACCGAACTGCTTCGGTCCGTGTATGGATCAAAACATGACTCTTCTTTCGGTGTCAAGTTTCGGTGTGGTTTCACCACACAAGCAGGTAAAACACAGACATACGGCAAACAGACATACGTGGTTACACCCAGAACTGTATAGAACTGCCATATAGTCATATGTCTATGGTGTTGGTTACACCCACAGACGGGGTTCACGTGTATCTGTGTTGTGTGAACTAGTGTGTAATGCGTGTGTCGTCGAACCGCTTCAATTTAAGAACGGAAAGTTGCTTCGTGTTTGTCTGCAAGAAAAGTGGAGTGCAGCCATCCGCCTCTCAGTGTTAAAGTCAGCCTGTGGGTGTTAGAGAGCCTTAACGGCCTGATTCAACATCTCCACGACTGGTCTCCTCTTCATCAGAGAACTCCGAGGAGAGCACAGTGTCTGGGATTTCATCTGGTAACTTTAAATTTGTTAACGTAACTTCAGCTTAACACGTGGATCGTGGTGAGTTAAACTAGGATCCATGTAACGCTAACTTTAAGATATTGGTGTGTAACTTTATTTTATGACTATCTATGTAGCTAGCTAAAATCAAAAGCTAACTAAAGATTGACAGTAACAGATAAAGCTTAGCTTGTGCGCTCCGGTGCTTTGAAGCACCGCCGGATCTGAGCAGAACCGCGCCGCCGGACCGGAGCAGAACCGGGCCAGGGATATCTTCAGCCTCTTCGTCTCTCGTGCTGTGGAGCGCCGGAGCCGGACTGGAGCAGAATCGGACCGGACCAGTGTCGACTTCAGCCTCTCCGGTCAGTCTCGTTTTTCACCGGGGGTGCCTCTCGTGCTGTCGGGTGCGGAGGTGTCGTGCAGAAAAGCAGGGGAGCAGCGCTGCGTGGTGCTCGAGAGAAGTTCGGAGTTTGTATCGGAGTTGCTGCAGGCCTCCATCCAAACTCACCTGGATAATAATTAATTTTATTCCGGATCACGCTGTTGGCCCCTCTTGACCTGAAACGAGCTTGGATCATGCCTTTCACTTCAGGAGGATTTTCTGGCAGCTCGCTCTGCTATTTGCTGCAAATTATCTGTTTCTGTTTCGGCCTGTTGATTCTGGACCCAGCTTCTGTTTCCCATGGGAGCATCCATCCATCTTCACTGGGGGGCCGGAGCCCCCCTCAGCCCAACTCAAACTGCAGTTGGGCCACCTCGTCGGGTTTGTTTGCCCATTTGAACTGTGTCGTTTTATGGTCTGAAACTTTTCTGCATCATTCATATTATTGTCACTATTTTTAGTTCTCATACTATCTGGAGTCACTGAATCTTGTTAATACACCTGAATCTGTCCATCACTGCAGCTTTCACTGTTTTTGGGTTCTGAATGATCACATCTTCATTAATGTTTCTCATGGTTCGATTATGGGGGCTAATTGTCACACTGTTAACTCCTGCAATTACACATCAGTCACAAAAAACTCAAGAAAATGTCTGATAATAATGTTGTTACTGCTATCAGGGATTCAGTCCAACCCTGGACCCCCCACTAATTACAGCACACCAAATGACTTTAAGAACGTGTCTGGGCTTCATTTTCTGCATGAAAACGCTCGTAGCCTTCTGAAAAAACTTGATGCTTTGAAAATTCTGATCAGTTCTTCTGGGGCAGATGTTATCTTTATCTATGAAACCTGGCTCAACAAATCTGTAATGAATAATGACCTGGCAATCAATGGATTTAACATCTACCGCTGTGATCGTCAAAAAAAAGGGGGGGGGGGGAGTCGCTGTTTACATCAAAGATTCTTTGGTTGCTAGTCTTGTGACTTCTAAAACAATTCCAAACCAGTTTGAAGCCTTATCTGTAAACATCACCTTGAATGGAGGTCAGATCTTAACTGTAGTCTGCTGCTACCGCCCCTCCTCAGCATCACCTGAGGCTCTGTCTGCACTGAAGGAATTTCTTGGTAATTTAAAATTCAAAGAGATCCTTTTGGCTGGAGACCTCAACATTGATTGGTGTAAGTCGACCCCCCTCTGTGATAAATTCAAGGAATGCTGCCTGTCTCTCAATCTTACCCAATTGATCGACTCTCCCACTAGACTAAATAAAAAAACGTCCTGAAAAATCTTCCATCTTAGACCTATTTCTAACCAATATGCCTCAAAAATTCCCTGGTGCAGGTGTATTCGCTGATATTTTGAGTGATTATTGTGTGACAGCTGCTTTGAGAGATATTAAACTTCCACCTTCTAAGCCCAGATTAATTCAAAAAAGGGATCTGAAACATTTTTGTGAACAGTCATTCCTCTGGGATCTGTCTCACTTTGACTGGCATCATATTCTGTTAACTGATGACGTGAACTCCGCTTGAAACTATTTTCATAATAGTTTCATTTATTTTGTGAACAAACATGCTCCTTTTCGTCAGTTCAGAATAAAGGGACGAGACAGCCCCTGGTTTACTCCAGAGCTAGCTGACCTCCTGCACAGGAGAGATCATCTTTGGGCTGCAGCGAGAAAATCTGACTCAGACACTGATTAGTTGAGTTTTCGACAGATGAGGAATAAATGTACAACTGCTGTCAAAGTAGCAAAACGCAACTATTTCTTATCTCAGACCTCCAAAAATCTAAATGACCCTAACAGATTCTGGAAAATCATCAAATCTCTCTCAGGCACCCCCCAATCATCTGACCTCCCATCACAACTTCTCATTAACTCTGTTCCTGTGTCAAATAAGCACGAGATCCTGAACTGTTTCAACAAACATTTTGTTGCTTCTAGTTCTTTATTTGACACAGTTACTAACAGAAAATCAGCCACTTCCCCTAATAACCAAACTTCTACAAATCAAATCCCTCCTACAAGTCAATCCTCAGTTAATCACAGCTTCTCTTTTTCTCCATTCTCAGTCAGTGAGGTTAATAAACTGTTAAAAGATCTTGACCCTAAAAAATCTGCAGGTCCAGATGAACTTCCACCTTATTTTTTAAGGCTGGCTGCTCATATCATCACAGTCCCTGTGACCCACATCTTCAATCTCTCCATAAGACAAAACTCCATCCCAGACACTTGGAAATCAGCCTTTGTTCTTCCTTTACTGAAGGGAGGTGACCCCACCTCACTGAACAACTATCGACCAATCTCTAAACTCTGCATTTTAGCCAAGGTTCTAGAAAAACTGAAACTCTCAAATCAAAAATTACCTGGACTCATTTAACATCTTACCTCCCCATCAATCTGGTTTCAGGAAGCAACACAGCACAACCACTGCTTCACTGAAGGTTCTTAATGACGTTGTTGAAGCACTGGATGCTAAGGATTATTGTGCTGCACTTTTCTTAGACCTGTCTAAAGCTTTTGACACTGTGGATCATAACATCTTGTGTCATAAACCCTCAGAAATTGGTTTCTCAGAACACACCATTGGTTGGTTCTCTAACTATCTTTCAGACCAGAGGCAATGTGTTCAACATAATGGTACTTCCTCCAGTTATTTAACAGTCAACAATGGTGTACCACAAGGCTCAGTCTTAGGACCCACCCTCTTTACAATCTACATACATAATGTAAGTAAAAACATCCCTAATGCATCCATACATTTTACGCTGATGACACAGTTGTTTATTGTCGAGCTAAAACTGTTGCTAAGGCTTTCCAGCTTTTGAATTCTGCATTCAACTACATCCAGACTGATTTGTTCCGCCTCAGACTTGTCCTAAATGCCGACAAAACCAAAGGGATGCTTTTTTCAAATAGGAAGTTGGTCCCAGCAGTTCTTCCTCCGATTTTATCCTCAAATGGTGTCCCCATTGAGTTTGTTGATTCCTATAAATATTTGGGTATCTTGGTCGACTCACATCTCTCTTTTAAGCTCCATGTGGAAAACTTGGTAAAGAAACTGAAAGTTAAACTGGGTTTCTTTTTCAGAAACAAATCCTGTCTAACCCTTAATGCTAGAAAACACCTTGTATCTGTGACTTTCCTTCCCTCAATTGATTATGGTGACATTATTTACATGAATGCTCTTACAAGAACCCTGCAGATGTTGGATGCTGTCTATCATGGTGCACTAAGATTCATAACTGGCTGTGATTATCGCACCCACCACTGCACCCTGTATTCACTGGTTAACTGGACATCATTAACTTCACGCATACTCTCTCACTGGTACATTTTCATCTTTAAATCACTTCTTGGTCTGCTACCTTCTTACATCTCCTCCTACATGTCTCTGCGTGAGTGTAGCTACAGTGTGCGCTCTCAGGACATTATTTCCTGCAGTGTTCCCTCAATGAGGACTGAACTAGGCAAAAGGGCCTTCTCCTACTCCGCTCCTGTTTCCTGGAATATCTTACAAAAAGATTTGAAGCTCTCGACCTTGACCTCTCTAAGTGGCTTTAAGAATCTGTTGGACTCCTGGCAAGGACCAATGCAGACATGTTCCTGTTTTTAGTTTTCTACATTCGCCTTAGAATCTAGCTGTTTTATTTTTATTTTTTGTTACCTTTTCCTTTTAGCCATCCTATTTGTAAAAAAAACAACAAAAAAAACCCTGTATTATGACTTTTTATAATTATTTATTGTTGTTGCTGTTGTCCTTTGTTGTCATCTTTCTTTGTTGAAATCAGGTTTCTCTTGTAAATGAGTCCTCGAGGCTCAATGGGATTTACCTGTCTAAATAAAGGTTGATTGATTGTAAAAGTGTGCTCATCCATTGGGTCAGCTGGTTGAACAGTTCACCTAATGTTCACTGTTTATGTTTATCTTCTCCTCACAGGAGCCTGTAGCGAATGTAGAAAACTAAAAACAGGAACATGTCTGCATTGGTCCCTGCCAGGAGTCCAGCAGATTCTTAAAGCCACTTAGAGAGGTCAAGGTCAAGAGCTTCAAATCTTTTTGTAAGATGTTCCAAGAAACAGGAGAAGGCCCTTTTGCCTAGTTCAGTCCGCACAGAGGGAACACTGCAGGTAATAATGTCCTGAGAGCGCACGCTGTAGCTGCACTCACGCAGAGACATGTAGGAGGAGATGTATGAAGGCAGCAGACCAAGAAGTGATTTAAATATGAAAATGTACCAGTGAGAGAGTCTGCGTGATGTTAATCAAGTCCAGTTAACCAGTGAATACAGGTTAACAACCATATTATTATTATTTTGTGTTCTAATGTCAATTAGGGAGATGATAAGCTCCCTAAAACCCAGAGAACCACAGAGGAGATTCAGGAAGAGATACAGAGGTACAGAAGTCTGCCATCAACCCTAACCTCAGTGAAACCCGTGACCTGGTGGTGGAATGTGAGGGACACTATTTTCCACTGTGATGTCGCAGGGCAAATATGCTCGGTTCACCATGGTTTTGAGAGCTTTTCTGCTAGTACTTTGTACCTGTTTCACCCCCTTTTTTTTGTCCCTTCTTCTCAAGGGGTCCAAGCGAGCCGAGCCGGCATGAAACTTGATCCTAGAACACTATTTGTCACTGATGGGTCGAGGGAGGAGTCAATGGATCTTTCAGAAAACTTTTCACCGATCAGCCATTTGCAATTACTTGGAACTCGGAGCAGCGGCTGGACCTATTTTTAATATTTTAAAAACAATAATGACAACACCGTGGTCTAATCCTGAAGTCCAGGCATTTTTTGTGCTTGGTGACCGACGACAAAATTCAGAGCAAGCAAGATGGAGCTCCACCAGTCTCCCTGGAGTTTTGGAGCCCACTCAGGACTTCATCCCCCGGCTCCGAGCTCCGCCGGTCACCACGGAAGATCCTCCGTGCTGCTGGCTCGGGCTCCTTGTTCTAATGCTGAAGTCCAGGCATTTTTTATATTTGGTGACCGACGACAAAATTCAGAGCGAGGTAGTCACCGCGAAGGATCATACGAGCTGCCGACCCGTTGAAGCAGGCGAGGCCGGGGCCTCGCGTGCTCACAAAGGCCGGATTCTGAACCCTGGCAGATGGGTGAACCGGGATGGAGTGGAAATGTTTTTTTATTCTTTTTAATTTACATTTTATGAATTAAAAAATATTTTTCTTTTCATCAGTGAAGATTAAAAATAAATAAACGGTGCCGGCTTTATCATGAAATACTGTTTTCACTTTAATGACCATTAAATAATCTGTTAAAGTTAACTCAGCTGTAAAATCAAAAAGACACAAAATTATTGGATCTCTCAGGAATATTTCCCTCAAATATGTTTAAAGAACAGCTACGGCCTTTAGTTCCAACTTTATTCTAACCCACAGATGTACAAATCACAAAACAAGAATTAAACTTTAAATCACTAAAATAAAATAATCTGCATACAAGAAACAAAACCACATCTAAATTGAACAATAAAAGTAGACGCAATGAGTGCAAATACATCAAATGATGAAGAAAAACTAAACAAAAATTAAATATAGATGTTTTTGTAGAATCTGGTTCATCAGAGATTTAATTCAATTCAGTTTATTTATATAGTACCAAGTCACAACAGAAGTCATCTCAGGGCACTGAACAGAAATATTCATGTATAAAATAAGTTAACAGAAACATTCATATTTAAAAATGATAATTTAACATTATTTATCTGAGGAGCAGACTGTTTTGAGTTTAACTCATCGCAGAACTCTCACTCTTAACGGTGAACTGAAGTTTATTAAAAATTCACTAGCAGGATTTATATATTTATATATACACACATTGTTTCATTTTATTACTTTTTTTTTTTTTTTTTAATTTACCAGAAACATCAAAATAAATTCTCACCCTGTATATGAAACCTGTTTGAAGTTTAAGTCCTGATTATGAGCTAAACCCAGATTTTCCATCTGCAGTGTTTGGTAAATAACTAAAACGTCATAACAAAAGTCAAGATATTTTTAATACATCTTTATTGTCAACATTTATACTGAAATGATACATCAGTGGAAGGTAACAGCCTCTTTCATCTTTAATGGCACACTGTTTATCCAGAGCTGGACTTAAACAGACTAGGTTTGTTACAATTATTTTGCTGGAGAATCATCAATCTGAAAAACACACACAGCATGTATTAGTATTGTATTAGTATAGTGTGTATTAGTAAACCATATTTAATCGCCACCAGGTAGTAAAGTGAGTTGGAATCTGGACCTGCATACAGAACCGATCACAATGGTCACAATGGAATTGTGACGTAACCAGCTGATCTGAGCTGAGCTGAGCTGACCCAATCTGCTCTTCACAGTGGAAAAGGAGCATATGCCAATGCTATCAAACTTGGCAACCAAGTATCTCTGTGTGTGCAACAAGCATCATCCACACCTTCAGAGTGAACATTTTCTACTGCTGGAGACACCATCAGCCAGGAGCGGGCTTGTTTGTGTCCAGAGAAAGCAGACATGTTGTTAGGATTTGTGGTCAGGGAGCGAACCCAGAGTGCAGAACAGGGACTCAGCTCGGCAGAATTACAAAAATAGGAATTTAATGATAAACAAAGGTACAAAATAACAAGCTGACGGGCCAGCAAAACTTACATGAAAATAGGAAGGAGGCACAGGAAACTCAGGAGGACTCAGGAGACACGGGAGACTCGAGGAACCAGGAAGACTGAGGGGGAGACACAGGAGACCCAACGAGTACGACGCGACGATGAACAAGACAGA